AGTTCGCAGGGGTGTGGCATTCGCTTCAGAGGGTTCGTGTTGCTCGTGGAGCAATGATCCGGCTCCATTCGCGAGTTCGATGCGTACCTTGGCTCTTTGGGGCTGGTCGCTTCAGGTGCCTCGTTAGCCGAGTTCTCGGGGTTTGGCTCTCCTGGTGGTTCACGTTCAGGGGTGTCGAGCGTCCTGGCGGATGGCCTGTCTCAGTTCATTCCCCTATCCATGGAATGAACGGTCGACACAGACTCGTTCAGTTGGCTTAGCCTAACGTACGAGCACCTAAGGGTGGACCTCTTCACATCGACTTGGTCGAGGCGTCTTCCAGTGTATGTGGCACCCTTCCCAGAATGCGAGGCTGTCGGGGTCGATGCCTTTCGGCTGGACTGATCGAGTTGGGGTTACCTGTACCTCTTCCCACCGATTCGGTTGCTGTTCCAAGTCCTGGTTAGCTTAAAGAGACTTACCAGGGATGAGTAGTCCTGTTGGCTCTTTGGTAGCCGGTCCAGCCCTGGTTTCGGGCGCTTCTTGCTCAATGTTCGAACCCAAGATCTTCCCGCAGCTCCGCCTCTTTCAGCAGATTGGTCCATTCTGGTACATGGCTGGTTCGATCTTCTCTGCTTCTAGGTTCTAGTCTTTTTGACGCGGGTTTATCACCACTTGTATGGTGATTAGGTGGATTAGTTGATGTCCCACCTGCAAGTTTCGCCTCGACGGCAGTATGAAATATCCTGGCGGTCTTTTCGGCACTTGTCTCTTCGTAGGTTGTCTTCAATTTCTGGTAGGGTTGTTTTGTCCTTTCTCTCTTAGTGCTTCAGGGCCGTCTTCTTATGCCAGATACAGTATCCACTCAATTTGACGGCCTCTTTTATACCGATGTGCCGGTAATAACGACTGGTTTGGGAGATCGGTATCTGGACCCTCATATACCAGTCTGGCGGTCGATATTACCGAAGGTCGGTATTGAGTTTGTTTTGGCATCGGCGGCCCCTCACGTGGCAACAGGTCACCGACTTCCAGGGCCTTGCAGGAGGGATGGGAGGCAGTGATTGATGGAGGGAGGCATTGAGGGGAAGAGGCAGGGAGAGTGTTGGGGGTGGTGGTGAGGGTGGTAGGGAGAGTATTGGTGGTGGTAGTGAGGGAGGGAGGGAGGCAGGGAGAGGAGTGGTGTTGAGGGAGGTAGGGAGAGTGGTGGTGTTGAGGGAGGCAGGGAGAGGGGTGGTGTTAAGGGAGGTAGGGAGAGTGGTGGTGTTGAGGGAGGTAGGGGGAGGGGTGGTGTTGAGGGAGGTAGGGAGAGTGATGGTGGTGAGGGGGGCAGGGAGTGGGGTGATGTTGAGGGAGGTAGGGAGAGGGGTGGTGGTAAGGAAGGCGGAGGGCAGAATTGCTGACCAAGGCGATGGTGCCAAACCTCTCACCTCATACCGTATTAAATTTTGTAATCTTAGTTGTAAAATATTTATGCCAAAATATGTTAATTTTCGTATATAACTATACATTATTAATCAATAACATGTTTTATAGTTTCCTAGTTGTTAATTAATCAAATATAGTTTTATTTATGAATTATGCACAGTTGGCATCTGCGAGCAGGCGCTGACAGATGTCCGGGTAGCCAGGCCTCGACCCCGTTATAGTAGCTCCCTCGACCCCATTAGTAGCGCCTTCCTCCATCACCTGCTGTTCTCGTGTTATAAGGAATGCAGTGAGGGAGGGGATGGAAGATAATGAGGGAGGGGATGGAAGATAATGAGGGAGGGGATGGAAGATAATGAGGGAGGGGATGGAAGATAATGAGGGAGGGGATGGAAGACATTGAGGGAGGGGATGGAAGATAATGAGGGAGGGGATGGAAGATAATGAGGGAGGGGATAGAAGATAATGAGGGAGGGGATGGAAGACATCGAGGGAGGGGATGGAAGATAATGAGGGAGGGGATGGAAGACATTGAGGGAGGGGAGGGAAGGAGGTGTTTGGTTTATATGGTTCACTTGTTGTGTTGTCCACTTGTTATACAGTATAAAGTATATCCTATCTGAATGCTACTTGAAAAATTACCGACATCTTAACTTCGGAAATACCAGAACTCCGGAAATAACAACCAGGGTACAGCCCCATATAGGCCGTTAAATTGAGTGGATACTGTACTGTCGCCTCATTTCGAGTGGTGCTGGCTGAGCCCCTACAGCTTGCATTCGGCATGGATATCACTTCTGCTCCATTCTGCTAGCTTTCTCGGGTGTTGTTTTCACCTCCGGCCTACTCATACGCCGCCTGAACCATCCTGGTCGTTGCACCGGGTGCTCTCTTCTCCCTTCTCCTCAGTTTGGGGTAGCCCCCTTGGCTCAGGTCTATTTTTCTATAGCTCTTTTCTTGTTGGCATTGGCCTCTGGGGTTCGGGTCGGAGAGTTTCTTGTTCTCCTCCGACGCAAGGGTTTCTGCTCTTTCAGTCCTGGTGGTCTTTTCTTCGTTTGCAGCCATCTCCTCCTTTTCTAGCGAATAATGAATCTGCTGCTTTCCGAAGGGGTCCTTAGGTTGTTGATGCTTGGTTGGTTCGGCCGGGGGTGCATCATGTTTTGTGAGTGGCTCTTCCCTGTTATTTGTGCGTTACGGCGCCTATGGTGCAGAGGACGAGCTTTGGGTTGACCCAGTTTCCCTTCTTCCCTATTCCAGGGAGCAGGTCTCCCAGGTTGTCCACAAGATTATTTGGTCCAGCCAGCCTGCGGTCTTTCCCTATGCCTACGCCGTTCGTAAGTTCGGCATTCAGCTGCTGTTTAGGTAATGTTCTGGCCTATCTTTTGGGCACAGGGCTATTGGAGGTTGAACAGGGTCCTGGTTGCACGTTACCTTGTTAATATTCCTAGTCCTTCTCGGGCATGTATAGCCTTGGGTCACAGGTTGCGGCCTGTTGTCTCGACTTTGAATTGAGGAGCGAATGACGTCCGCTTCCCGGGTCAGTCCCTTTTCTTCTTATCTTTGGTTAGGTATCTCCGGGGAGCCAAAGGGGCTCTCCACGGAAAACCAGGGTTGAATGTATTGAAACCCCATTTTGTGGGTGAGACCCGGAGGCTCCCCGGCATCCCTCCCTCCCTCTGGTTGGCGGTTTTTCGTTTTGATACTCAGCCTCTGAACTGAGGAGAGTTGCCAGCGTGGAGGTCTGGGACCCCCACCCCCCGTCCCCTTCCAGGGAAGGGGGGGGGTTGCACAGACGGATGTAATTACCTAAGTGTAATTACCTAAGTGTAGTTACAGGATGAGAGCTACATTCGTGGTGTCCCATCTTCCCAACGCGGCAGTTGTGGTGATGTCATGTTTGTTTCCTTGTTTTTGATTGGGGAGTTCTGGTTGCTAGTTCGGCTTTCAGTTTGCAATTTTTGACCAACAGTAGTTTGTTTTGGAATTCCTACCTTTCTGGGTGCCTGACCTGGTAGATGGCAGACAAAGACTGCGTCCAACTACACAAGGGGTGTATTTAGGCCATTGCTCCTCGTGCCTCTCTTGAGGGGGCCAGGTTCTGGCTCTGGTCTCCGGTAGGCTTAGAACTCCTTCGATTGACTGATGCCACGGTCTAATATATACACATCAGCCCGGTATAGCTCCGGGGAGCCGAAGTGACTCTCCACAGAAAAACCCATGCCATGACTACTAAATTAATAGTAATAGCATTACATTACAGCAGATTGATGATGAAAAGAACCTTGGAGTCAAAATCCACCACTCATTAAAAGTTGCACAACAGGTGGGAGCAGCAGTCAGGAAAGCTAACCAAACTCTTTGAATAATCAAGCACACTTTTGACTATAACGAAAAGAATGTAATGGTTCAACTGTATAAATATCTGGTGCGGCTCCATTTGGATTACTGTATCCAAGCATGAAGACCATTTCCAGAAGGCCAAAGCTACTCTGGAGAAGGTGCAACACTGGGCAACAAAAGTCATTCTAGAGCTAAGTCATCTCCCATATCAGGAATGCTTGGAGGCCACAGGGCTGAGAACACTGCAAACCAGGCATGACAGGCAGACCTCATTGAAACTTTTAAAATACTGAACAAGTTAGAGGACATTGATCAGGAAAATTTCTTCTAAAGGTCAGATGTAACACAAACATGGAGCAACGGTTTTAAGCACAACAGGCCACAATGTAGGACTGAGAACAGGCTTTTTCACCCACAGGGTTATTAACCTATGGAACCACCTACCCGCCAAAGTCATAACTACCGAAGTGTGTTGAGTTTTAAAATATACCTAGAAAAGATCATCAAGGCAAATAGGAGGACCTTCGACAAGCCGCCGGCTTCTTGCCCTCGTCGAGGCCACTTGGGTTAGTGGCCCTCAGGTAAACCAGGTAAAAAGATAAATAAACCAATTGCCAATTGTGCTCCAGGGAAAACTAGTAGGGCAAGGCTTAACATGAGCTAAGTGAAGGGAAAGCTATAGACCCGATAACAGCAGTCAGAATTCATCTATCACTTGTGGAACAAGGGAGAGAAATAAAAGCTTGGAAACATGTAATGTTGGTGACATGAAACACAATCATGAAGCTTAAAAATGAAAACAAAAACAAAGCAATGGCTACACATGGAACAGTTATTCCAGAAAACACCGTCACCACTTTTCTGACAAAGGAGTGCGCCGGTGCCAGTTTAGGACACTGGGTGACCTAATCAACCCTGCTGTGCATATGGGCACCTCTGCCTTTAATTTGGAATTTCACCCTGTATATAATATTGTATATAAGAATTCTAGTAATAAATAGAAGCCAATTAAGATTATCTTTCAGAGCGGGGCACTCAATAAGAATATTTACCAAAATTTCACTATTAAATGTCTCATACTAATAATACTACAGGTAGTCATTTAATCTTGCTTAAGTTAACTTTTATGAAATGATTCTTTAAAGTGGTTTATAATGCTACAGTTTATCAAACATTTTAAAGTTAAATAACTTGAAGGCATTTATGTGAAAGACAATTTCATTTCATTAGGAATTACAGAGTTCTATACTCACTTTTACATCAGGATCTTTACCCTCACGACTGTGACCAACTTCAAGTGATCTGGTTCTGTCATACCATGTGACTGAGAGCCCTCTTCCTTGAGGATACCTGCCACCAAGTATCCAAGTCTCACTGTTATCTACACCTAAAAGATCAACATACAATGTAATGAAATTCCATTTTCTGGGTGAGACCCAGAGGTTCCCTGAAGCTATCAAACTGACATATGCCATATTAGTTTGGTGCCATCAGTCCTTGGATTTTGAGTGCCTACTGGGGGGCCATGAGCCAGAACCTGGCCACCTCAGAGAGGCACAGGGAGCAATGGCCAAATGAGCTCTCTAAATTTTGAGTTTCTCATGTCTGCCATCTACCTTGGATACCTCCAGAAAGGTAGGCGAACCACTATTAATCTCTAACTGGTTAAAATTGACACCCTAAGTCCAAACAAATCCAATATCTCTCCCCAATAGAAAAGGGAAGAGGTTCCCCCCTCCCTTCAGGCTCTGAGGAGCCTGAAAGGGAGGAGGGGGGAAACCCCGCACAGGCGAGCAAACCGCACCACTCCAATTCGATAAATGATGAAAACCGCCGACCAGAGGGAGGGAGGGTTGTCTGGAAGGCTCCAGGGCTCACCCAGAAAATGGCATTTCATTACATTAAATGCTGGTTTTCTGAGAGAAGCCCCCATTGGCTCCCTGAAGCTATCTACCAACAGATAAGTAAAAGAACAGCGTTGAATGTAATGCAACGCCATTTTCTGGGTGAGTTCCGGAGGCTCTCCAGAGCTATCCAGGCTGAATGGATATGTATAACTTTCTGGCATCAGTCAATGTGCTTGGAGTTCTTGCCTACTGGGGACCACGAGCCAGAACCTGGCCCCCTCAGAAAGGTGCGAGGAACAATGGCCTATAGAAATTTCCATGTGGTTAGGAGTATTCTATGTCTGCCATCGACTGGGTCTGATATCCAGAAAGGTACGCGTCCCAAAACAAACCCCTATTCTGGTGAAACTGTTGCTACTGAAAGCCGAACTAGTGGACAATACTCCCCAAACAAAAATAAGCAAACTAGCATGACGTCATCACATTGCCGAGCAGTTGTCTGTGCAATCCCCCCCCCTCCCCGGGAAGGGAAAGGTGAAGCCCAAGACCCGTGCGCTGGCGATCCAACCACCAGTTCTTAGGCTGGATGTTAAAACACACGAAAAAACCAGCATTGAATGTAACGAAACGCCATTTTCTAGGCGAGTCCCAGAGGCTCCCCGGAGCTATTCAGGCTGATAAGGATACCCTAACTTTTGGCATCAGTTGATGTGGATGGAGTTCTAGGCCTACCAGGGTCCATGAGCCAGAACCTGGCCCTCCTCAGAGAGGCACGAGGACCTATAGAAATGCACATGTGATTTTGGAGCATTCTATATCTGCCATCGACCGGGACAGGCACCCCAAGAAAGATAAGCACCCCAAAACAAACCCTTATTCTGGTGAGAAACAACAAAAACACAAACGAGTGGACAGAACTTCCCAAATGAAAACAAGCAAACAAGCATGACGTCACATAAGCCACACCGCACATCTGCGCAGCTCCCCCCTCCCTGGGAGGGGGAAGGGGATACCCCAGACCCACAGGCCGGTGATCCACACCCAGTTCTGAGGCTGGATATCAAAATACGCAAAAAAATGGCGACCGGAGGAAGGGAGGGTTGCTGGGAAGCCTAACCCAGAAAATGGCGTTTCATTACATTCAATACTAGTTTTCTGGGGGAAAAGGTTGAAAATGGGAAATAGATTCACAGAAAATGAAAAGGAAATGTGTAAAACATTAAACAAAAAGTTCCAAAGTGTGTTTGTACAAAATGAAATCTTCAGGGAACCAGACACAATAAGAATTCCACAGAACAACATAGAGCACATAGAGGTGTCTAGAGACGAAGTGGAAAAAATGCTCAAGGAGCTAAGTAAGAACAACGCAGTTGGTCCAGATGGAGTTTCACCATGGGTTCTGAGAGAATGTGCACCTGAGCTCAGCATTCCACTTCAACTGATTTTTCAGGCATCCCTGTTTACAGGAGTGGTAGCTGATGTGTGGAAAAAGGCTAACATAGTTCCAATCTACAAAAGTGGCACCAGGGAAGACCCTCTTAATTATAGACCTGTATCATTGACAAGTGTAATAGTCAAAATATTGAAAAAAATAATTAAAACTAAACGGGTAGAACACCTGGAGAAAAAAGATATAATATCAGAGAAACAGTATGGTTTTTGATCTGGAAGATCCTGAGTAACGACCTTACTCAGTTTTTATGATCGAGCCACAGAGATTTTACAGGAAAGAGATGATTGGGTTGACTGCATCTATCTGGACCTAAAAAAAGGCTTTCGACAGAGTTCCCCATAAGAGGCTGTTCTGGAAACTGGAACATATTGGAGGGGTGACAGGTAAGCTTCTAACATGGATGAAAAATTTCCTAACTGACAGAAAAATGAGGGTCATAATCAGAGGCAATGTATCGGATTGGAGAAATGTCACAAGTGGAGTACCACAGGGTTCAGTTCTTGCACCAGTGATGTTCATTGTCTACATAAATGATCTACCAGATGGAATACAGAATTATATGAACATGTTTGCTGATGATACTAAGATAATAGGAAAGATAAGAAACTTAGATGATTGACATGCCCTTCAAGAAGACCTGGACAAAATAAGTAGATGGAGCACCACTTGGCAAATGGAATTTAATGTTAATAAATACCATATTATGGAATGTGGAATAGGAGTACATAGACCCTACACAACCTATATATTATGTAAGAAATCTTTAAAGAATTCTGATAAAGAAAGAGATCTAGGGGTGATTCTAGATAGAAAACTGTCACCCGAGGACCACATAAAGAATATTGTGTGAGGAGCCTATGCCACACTTTCTAACTTCAGAATTGCTTTTAAATACATGGATGGCAAAATACTAAAGAAATTATTCATGACTTTTGTTAGGCCAAAGCTAGAATATGCAGTGGTTGTGTGGCGCCCATATCTTAAAAAGCACATCAACAAACTGGAAAATGTGCAAAGACATGCTACTAAGTGGCTCCCAGAACTGAAGGGCAAGAGCTACGAGGAGAGGTTAGAGGCATTAAATAAGCAAAAATTAGAAGACAGAAGAAAAAACAGCGTTGAATGTAATGAAATGCCATTTTCTGGGTGAGTCCCGGAGGCTCCCCGGAGCTTTCCCAGGCTGATATGCTAATGTCAGACTTTGGCATCAGTCATGTGTATGGAGTTCTTAGGCCTACCGGGGACCTTGGCCAGAACCGGGCCCCCCCTCAGAGAGACAAGGGGAGCAATGGCCTATTGAAACTCCTGTGTGGTTGGAAGCATTCTATGTCTGCTATCGACCAGATCAGGCACCCAGAAAGGTAAGCGCCTCAAAACAAACCCCTATTCTGATTAAAATTGCTACCAAAAGCTGAACTAGTGGATAGAACTCCCCAACAGAAAACAAGCAAACTAGCGTGACATCACACGTCGCCGCGCCGCTGTCTGCGCAGCTCCTCCCCTCCCCGGGAGGGGGAAGGGGGAGCCCCAGACCCTCCACGCCGGCTACCCACACCTCAGTTCTTGAGGCTGGATGTCAAAAACGCGAAAAAAAAATGTCGACCGGAGGGAGGGAGGGAGGCCGGGGAGCCTCCGGGACTCACCCAGAAAATGGCTTTTCATTACATTCAATGCTGGTTTTCTGGGGGGAGCCCTGTCGGCCCCCCGGAGCTAACTACCCACAGACAGAAAAAGAGGGACTTACCTGAGAGGCGGTTGTCGCTCACTCCTCAACTCGAAGGCGAGACAACTGGCTGCAACCGCCAACCCAAAGCAACACATGCCTGACAGGGCCCAGGGACATTCACGAGGTAACGAGCAGCCAGGACCTTGTTCGACTGCCAAAAACCCCGTGCCCAAATATGAGACCAAGACGTATTCCCAAAGACGGCAGCAAGAGCCGTGAACTTACGGACGTCATAGGCATGGGGATAGACCACAGGCTGGCTGGACTTGATAACCCTACGGACGACCTGGGAGACCCAAACCCGTGAACAGGGAAGAAGGGAAACCGCATCAACACAAAGCGCGTCCCCGGACACAGAAGCCGTGGCACGCAAATAATGGCGAAGCTCCGCAACTGGACACAAAACATGATGCACCCCCGGCCAGACCAACCAAGCATCAATCACCCACGGACCCCTCCGGAACGCAGCAGTCTAATTCTTCGCCAGAAAAGAAGGAGGCGTCTGCAAGCGAACAAAACAGTCTCCACGCCAAAAAGAGCAGAAACCCCTGCACCGGAGCAGAGCATGAAGCTCCCCAACCCGACCCCCAGAGGCTAATGCCAACAAGAAAAGAGCCTTGGAGAAACAATTCCGGACCGAAGGGGCCACAACAAAACGAGGAGACGAAAGGTAAGCGAGCACTCTGTCCAAAGACCAGGACGGCTCAGGCGGCGCATGAGCAGGCCGGAGGAGAAACAAGGCATGAGACAGGTTGCGAAATGGCGCAGACGTAACATTGATTCCGAAGGCAAGCTGAAGCAGGTCCACCAGCGCCGCACGATACGAGGCGACAGTGTTAGGCATAAGACGACGGTCCTGAAACAACCAAGAGAGAAAGGACAAGACCACCCTAACATATGACGAATTAACACGACGAAGACGCAAAAAGAAACAGAAGGACCGCCAGGAAACTTCATACTGCCGCCGAGAAGCCCTCAGGTGGGACACCAACAAAGAGGCCGCCTGATGACCATAGAGATGATGATAGACTCGAGTCAAAAAACCCATACGCGAAGACTCGAGAAGAAGATCGAACCAGCCAAGTGACGTACCGGCCCAATCTGGTGAAAGAGGCGGAGCCCCAGGAAAACCCTCGGGTTCGGACACCGAGCAAGCAGCGCCTGAAACCAAGGCTGGGCCAGCCACCAAGGAGCCAGAAAGACAACTCTCCCCTGGTAAGTCTCCAAGCGAGTCAGGACCTGGAGTAACAGCCGAACCGGGGAAAAAGAGGTACAGGAGCCCCCCACCTCGACCAGTCTAGCCGAAAGGCATCGATCCCGATGGCCTCGCGATCGGGGAAGAGAGCCGTATACATGGGAAG